CCATGCAGGTCCTCAACTGTCACCTTCACATGTATTATATAATGATATATCACTTTATTATTGAATACATATTTGTCTGCTTTATAACAAGTACCTTCTGCACTTTCTCTACCAATCACATTAAGTTACTATTTATATATATAATTGCATGGAACAAAACCGTGTATTAAGACGTCAAATATTCAAAACTTAACTTAGATAAAAGCGAAAACCACCAAGTAGCTGTAAGAGAAAAACCTTTAACTATTAGTAATTATTGATAGGAAGCAATCAATATGAAACAAACAAGAGTTGATTTGATATGGGATTTCAACTTTCCATGGGAGTTTCAATCTGGGAGGCAGGATTGTTTGGAAATGTGAACAATTCTCGGAGTTGGAGAATCAAAGAGACTCATGCTCGATTTCCAAATAAGCACTCGTGCAATCTTGGGAAATATTAATCAAATTATGGTGATAGACTGTGGTCTGTGGTCAAAAGAAAGACTTGAAAGCGTAGCAATATAAAATTTTCGCAAACTCAAGAGAATGTTTAGTAGTATAGCGTAGTATCTTCTAATTTGGCACCTACCCTTACTGCCATTGATTCAAGGCATTGCAACAAAGATAGTCTGCATGCCTTTCGCAAGGTTTGCAGAATTGTACCTGATGGAACTGCAGGCGGCTGCAGCCAAGATCTAGCTAGAAGATGATTCATTTGCAAAACCTTAGAGTTGCATTTAGAATTGGTTCACTCAAATAAGCTTATCACCATGCATAGAAAACATGAATGATTGGGGAAAAGAAATTGTTATTTTGTCAGAATTCCCCATTGTTATTTTATAGTCGAGAATAAAGTGGCTTAACTTTGAAGTTGAGAGATCTGGTTGAGGGTAACTCTCCATTTTCAATATGTATATTTAAACAATATATAGGTTGTGATCATGTTAGTGGACGATTTGTCCTTTGAATGGTCAAAATTGTGGAACGAAAAGAATTTTTGCATCCGACTTGCTTTCTTTGTCTCTTGTGCTAGAAATTTTTGCATGTAACTTTATGGAGTGTCGACAAGTCAATATCTAAGATTTATATAATCATTTTGCATTTCCTTTATTACTAATTAATGTCCAAATGATAGACAAGTTAAGTTTACATTTCAATATGATTTCAAGTCTTTACTTTGGTTTTTTGGTTTGCCTAGCAACTGGCGACAGGCAAGTGAAGAAAATTTGTGACTGTACAGAGTATATCATGTGATCAACCATGTAAAAGCTGAGTGAAAAGATATTGAATGTGCAATTATTTTTCTCGCTACCCCTTGTGATGTAAGAGTAAGACACAGCCGGTAGTAGTAGTACTTGAAATCGTCCCTAACTTTAATTTGTCTTATCTCCTTTGCCTCCAGAGTTAAATTTCCATCATCCCCTGCTACTTGCTACCCTCTCTCATAATGGAGTGACCCCTTCTGCCTCTCTCTCTCTCTCTGCACGCCACGACTCAGAAACATCTAGGTGTTGCTACAATCTACCAAAAGAGAATTAATCAAGTTGCAGGAAAATGTTTGTCACATTTACATTTTCATTTTTATTTTTATTTTTGCTGTTGTTGGGGGGTATACTTTACTTGGGTTTTATCCTTTATATTTGTGTCCCAGAAGCCATAGCTTTTGTACATCACTTTCCTTGCCGGCTCCATCGCTAAAACTTCTTCCTAGCCACTACATCTGCATTTTGCCTTTCGTTTTCACGCTTATGTTATGGGTTCCACGCGTCGAATTTTGTTCAATACCGACACCAGGGAAATGCCCTTGTTCTTACATTCTCCTGTTTAATATCAGTTCCACGTGTCGATGTCATGTTGATACTGGAAACTTATCTAGGTGTTTTTGGAGGGCCGGGGAAGATTTGATTCAGAATCACCAGCACAAGTACTGGGGGAAAGGCACATCAAGCGGAGGGCAGGCGGATGTGAATAATGTTTGTCATTGTCCAAGAAATCAAAGACTTAAAACAGGAGCTACTAACCAGTTTATTCGAGTTTCTCTAGTACCTTGGAATTATTCTGAGCACAAGAGAGCAGAAAAGAGGAGCTCATGAACACTGAAATGGAATAAGACGATTCGGCTCTGTGATTTTTTGCTTTTCCTTTATTTGATGACTGAGGTTATAACCCCAATGTTACTTCAATGACGTGACTTAACATGGATTGACCCTTAAACTTACATAATGTCTTTGTCATGTAATTTAACTCAGGCAGATGCAACTAGCAGCAAAATTAGCAGAAGTCCCAAGTAGTTGAGAGGGACTGATACTTACCAGATGATGATACTACAGCATTATTGTTTAAAGGAAATAATTAAAAACCTTTCGGTGTAAAATGTATGTAACAAAAATGTATATGTATATATATATATAAAACACGAAAATTCAAACACCGAGAGAAAATGGAACTGTTGCTTTGATGACTGAAACCAACTTAAGCCAAAAAGATACAGTGAAATTGGGAGAAAACTGTGTTGAGGAACACTGTACACGCCCCCCAAAGCAAATGCCGAATGGCCTTAAGCCTCAAACCCACTTTGTTGCTTGAAGCAAGGTAAGGGTTAAAAATACAGAATGTCCCCTCCACCCTTTTCTTTCTCTTATGCTATGAGGTGCAAGTGCAACTCTCTCTCTCTCTCTCTCTCTCTCTCTCTCTTAGGAGACAACGAGGAACGTGCAAGTCTAATCTCTGACTTTTGTCTCTGGCTTTTACTTTGCCTTCTTTCAATCTTCTCTCACATTAAATCTCCCTCCTTTGTCTGCAGGGGTAATTTCTCACCCTTCCACACACTTTTATTTCACCACCAACTTTTTTCTGCTTTTCACCTTGCAAAGAAAATTACCATGAGCCTCAACGCGCTTCCTTCACAGTCATGCGTTTACATATGTGTATCAATGTATGTATCTATCCATGTATATAAATGTGTGTCTCATCATTATAGTTGCCAAAGTACAAGCAAAGTCCACTCAGTAGGTTTTCTTTTTTCTTTCCAATCTTTCAACCATGACAGACCCAGCTTGCTCCAATCTCTTCACTGGATGCTTCAACTTCATGCCTCTCAATCCCCACTACACTTCTTTCACTACTCCAAATCACCCAAACCCTTCTTCTCAAGCTCACACAAACAACATAATCATCAACAAATCTTCCATTCAAGGTCAAAGCACTTATCCTTCCTCACCGCCCCGCAAAGAAGCTCTTCCCCTCATCAATTATCTAAGTCCCACAGGGCAAGAAGAGACTGAACCCTCAAGCAGCTCCGTGGAAGAGGATAAGAACATGAGCAAAGAGGAGAGCCTCTTTTCCAGCACCGTTGATGATGAAGCTGTAACTGTAGCCCTACACATAGGCCTACCTAGCCCTAGTAATTCCGATCTGAGGTTTAGGGTCTCTCCATCTGCAGATGTGACAGACAAAGGAGAGAATGGGAGTGCAGTTTCTGGGTATCCTTTGAGCAAGGGACAGTATTGGATTCCCACCCCTACCCAGATTCTCGTTGGTCCTACACAGTTTTCATGTCCTGTCTGCTGCAAGACCTTTAATAGATACAACAACCTGCAGGTATGCTTCATTGCATGAGACACGATCTGCGAAAATTTCCTTCTTCTCCTGTTCTCTCTCCGTCCTTCTTCCATTTGCCTTGATTAGTCTTTTCTTGATCTGGACCGTAAACCATCCTTTTAATTTTAGCTTACCGTGGCTAAGAGCTGAGATGTTAATACATATTTTGATGCTTGAACCGATGGTAAGGTTTAGCATTAACTTTCTTTTTGTCTAAACTAGCTTCTTTTTGTGTTTTAAACTATCTTTTGCTTTGTGCTTTTGCGAGTTATCTAGCTAATTGGTTTTAGGTATCTATAAGTACATATATAATGCATTATCATAGTCTCCGACCAAGAGAGGCTCAAGTCAGTGTAGTTTTGGGGTCTCCTTGATTGATTTAAACTATTCTTGGAAATGTTCCTTCTGCTTTTCTTGGCACTTGGAAGAGTGTGCTAAATCCCTGATGAGTTGCAAATAGGTTAATGCGAGACTGATAAGTTTTTCAGTGCTTTCCATGGTTTCAGTCGATCTTTTGGATGTTCCACTCTTTAGAACACTGTTTGCACAGTAGAATTTACAAAGTCATCTCTCAAGTCTGCAAAAGAAACACCCAAAATGGAGATGCCATTGCATCCGAAACAGACAATATTAATCTGACACTCCAGCCTGTAGACTAGAGACCTCTAATTAATACTTTATGACAATTATAACAAAGGCATTTCATGTTAGAGTTTCTCAATAAATTTGTTGAACCTTGAAAGATAAACCAACGTTTAGCTGTTTTTCTCATCCAAATAGTTACGTTTAGGGGTTTTTTTGCTAGTTCAAACTTTGCGTCCAACTGCAAACACCAATCCAACTAGACCTTTCTTTCTTTCTCTCTCCTTAGGTCGTGATTGTTAATTAATTAAGTATATCCATGTCTGATAGTAGTGTGAATTCCCGTGAGCTCTCATATGAGATAATGAACACCCTCGCTGCATTGTGCATATAGCTTTCTTGCTACTAATAATTACTTGATTGCTTCCTCCCGCTCTATCTCTCTCTCTCATCATGGATTTTTCGCTTCATACACAGATGCATATGTGGGGGCATGGATCTCAGTACAGAAAGGGACCTGACTCTCTAAGAGGAAGCCAGCCAACAGCCATGCTAAGACTCCCTTGTTATTGCTGTGCACCAGGTTGTAAGCACAACATCGATCACCCGAGAGCAAGACCTCTCAAAGATTTCAGAACTCTCCAAACGCACTACAAAAGAAAACATGGGATCAAACCCTTCATGTGTAGAAAATGTGAGGAGGCATTTGCGGTGAAAGGGGACTGGAGAACCCACGAGAAGAACTGCGGAAAGATTTGGTATTGCATTTGTGGGTCTGACTTCAAGCACAAGAGGTCTTAAAAAGATCACATCAAGGCATTTGGCCCTGGTCATGGGGCTTTCGGCATCGATTCTTTAGAAGAGGATGATGAACCCGCATCGGAATTTGAGGTTGATTGTGAGTCCTCAATGTGAAATGCATGAAATCTAGCCAAACACGTACTTAGTTTTTTCGGTTACATTTTTAAGTTGTTGCTTACGAGCCATGGGTAGTTGTTTATATATGATCACTTCTTTCTGTATATGTATCTTGCTCGAGCTTGGTTTTGTTTCCTCTTCTTTGGTTTGACCCAGTTCTGAATCCACCCACCTTGAAGCAATAGATATAGCGATCCCATAAAAAAAAATACTTTGCATTCGCAACCAGCATAAAATGATATTCAATTTATATTTTTGGCATGTAATTAACTGAAAATTTTGATCTTCATTTTCATAGGTGTAAATAATTAAAGAAATGAGCAATTACACTATTTTCCCCATTGACTTACCTGGCTAGTAGGTTCCTTGAATCAAATTAAGGAACAAGTAAAGTGGCAGAGAATTCTACAAAGTTGGGAGTAAAATCCAAACCTGCTTAATCCAATGATAGTAATATATAAGCAATTGCAAGTCTTAGCTATGCAAATAGATGTTTGAGTTTTCTGCATGCATAAATAATTGGAATTTGACACTGGGTTGCCCATTTTTTGAAACTCAACCAAATGGAGAGAAGCAAACTTTATGACAAAAACGAGATCAGTATCACGTGCTAATTAGAGATTTTGTGCTTATTTGTAATGTTTATCATGTCTTGTATCTTCAATTTATGGCTGTTGGATATGTAATCCTGTTTCATGTTCAAAAAGAAAACTTGAATTGCCCATTTGTGAAGTTGTATCAGTTTTTTCTCTTACTAGTTTGTGGAAATGATGTGATAGATTTTATTCAAAATCTCTTTGAGGCAAGGCATGCAGCTCGAACTTGTTTTGTTGTTAGTATTAGTAGTATAACATTCATTTTAAGGGTAATTATATGTTTTTATAATTCATTTAGTTCACTTGTAATTGTATGTTTTTATAATTCATTTATGTACATATATATTGTCTCTATTTGGCATTGCCAACAATTTGTGCCTAAATTAAAATTTTACATCTCAAGCTTACATCTCTATTTATCATAAAATTGAGAATCAATTATTTTTAATAATTTTAGCTAAATCAAAGGTAATCCTAAACATACATTCGAGCATTTGGCTCATTGGTGGATGTATGATCCTTTACTTAAAAAGCTTTTACCATGAAAAAAAAAACATGTTTAATCAAAATTTCTATTTAAGTTGTACTTTGATGTTGATTATTTTCAATGCTTTGCAAAAATCATAATATTATTTCGTTTTAAGCATCAACTTGAAACAAAATCTTTAATTTGATTTATCGATTTAGATTTTTGATTTTAACTTTATCTAATCATTTTTAATTAAATTTTTTTATGTAAATTGTGCCCAACTTTTAATATCAACTGATTAAATTACTTTGTAAAGATAAAACTTTTTCTATTTTTATTTTTTAATGCTTACTTTTTCTTTTTTTGGATGCATAGTGTTAGTTGGACAGTGGGATTGTTGAACTTACGCGTCCAATTGAAGTTGAAACAGGCCTCTTCATCGTAGCCCAAAATACTCATGGGCTACGGGGAGAAATGGGCCGAGCTAGCCATGGTGAAATCTTTAATCTCTTAAGCCACCGCTGACAACCGGGAAAAGGGCTGTTAATCTGCAGGATTCTCACCCTTGTCTCCCTGCAGTTTGCGGTCTGCCCTGTCCAGGGAAAACAGTAGGAGGTGGAGTTTAAACTATGGCTTTGGCATACAGCATTTCCCAAAGCGTTGTCTACAAGTGCAAGCCTCTAGAAGTAGTGAAAATCAAGCTATCTTCAGAGGCAGATGACAGAAAACAAAGTAAAATGGTATCTGAAATCCAAGCAAAGAAGCGATGCTTGAGGTGCAAAACCCTTTACCTGGACACAGATAATTCCCCTACCGCATGCTCCTTCCACGGCCATGCCACTGGTATGTTAAATTCTTATCATTCGTCATATGAACTGGTGATAGATCTCTGTCATACATAGGTTAGTCTTCGATAACAAAATAAGCAACTGTTTTTGTCTAAATATCATCCCAGATTATGCAAACTAGGATTACGAGAGAGGTTATTGCATTCCAAAGTGCGTAAAATGAGAGCGAAAGCAAGCACTTTTAGTTTGTGGTCTGAAATGTCTGAGACCGTCCGGGATTAATAAGGGAAAGAATTCTTCTTTTTTTCTTTTTGGGTGGGGGAAGGTCTAGAGAAGAGAGAGATGAACCGATCAATAATGGATGGAGGATGCAGTTACTGGGTTAGCTTTTGCTTTTACATTTTGTTTTTCCCCCTTTAATCAAAACGATGGTGAATGGTGATGGGAGAGGCAGAAATAATAGCTTTATGAATTGTGAGACATACTGATTGCCAGTTCTCGAGAAGTGAAAGAAGTGAACTTTAGAACAACAGAGTCATGGTTTTAGAGGTAACTGTCTCAAACATATCTTTCCGAAGCAGAATTTAACAGGTTTTTCGTTTTTTAGCTGCGGATTAAATTTACATGAACACTCTGTTTGAATGATTTTTGTTCTGGGAGCAGGGGATGCAGTAGTAACAATCATTCCAGGTTCATTACACAAATGGAGTGTCTTGGAATCAATTATATTGTACATAAGCTTCGTTGATGAGAAAGGAAGAAATTGAATAGAACTTGAACTTCAAAGAGTTTACTCTAGAAATCCAATGGAAAATTTCATATAAATCTCTTAAATCCCAGTTAAAAGCCATCAAAATGTTTCTAGAATGCCACCATTTGAATGATGCTGGTAGATCTTTAGATAGCAGCACAGAATCACTATCTCTCATGCCTGTCATCTATATTTTTGCCACTTGCTGAGTGCTTTGATTGTGTGGATGAGTGAGGTGATTCATTTGCAAAGCAGAGAGTTACTCAAGCAATGCCATTCCCAGTCCCTAAAGCTTAAAGTCATTGCAGGAGAGAAAGGATTATTTGCATTGGCTCCTCCACACCAAGGGATCGATGGTGACTGGACTGACCGCTCTGGAGTCATTGTGTACAAATGGAATGAAAAGAATGATAGACCAAACACTGGACGTGCCAATTGGAAGAAAAGATGGAGCTGCTGTCAAGAGTATGATGAAAATGCACCACCTTGTAGCCGTGGGTGGCATGTCTCATATGATGATGGCTTCACTTTGTATTAGATACCATTATTTTTAACGTAATACCACATTGTAAATTCAACAGCATTTCAACTCGTGACAACTAGTGCTTGGGCTACTGCTCTGCATCTCATTGTTGGTATCGCCCAGATTTTGGTTTTGATAGAATTTAACTTGTGCAGATGGACCTTCTTCCTGCTTATTATGTTCATCTTAGCTACATTGAGTTTTAAAATGACAGACCACCTTTGATGTACTGTTGTTAGAGCAGATGTTCAATTCTTTCTTAGCCGTGCATGTCAGAATCAGTTGATCCACTGTTCTCACCATTTCACCAATGGCTAGAAAAGCTTTTCAGACTTGTTTTGTACTGAAGCAACAGAAAATCAGCAGAAGATTTGTGTCAACGGTAAGCAGAGCATCAAGGAAGAGAACTTTTTTCTTTTTGCTACAAAAAGAAGTCAACTTTTTAATGTTTCTCAACCCTTAGGAACAAGATTGATAGGAGGACCTTCTCTTCCAACAGCTTCAATCGAGCACCAGAATTCTGGTGTATGCTCATGGATGCCAAATTCATTCAAGTCTCATCTTTAATTAGAAACTCAATTGAATCAATATCACCCAAAAGCAACGGAGATTGTAGATACAGAAATGGAAATGCTCACTTAGCTTCTTCAAAATCAAGCTTGAGTAACCAGAAAAGGAACTGCACTTAACATAACACGAGAGAAAAAGAAAAAGAAAAAAACATCCTCAAAATTGTCCAACAGTCTTAAAGGAGTCATGAATGTGCCTTAAGGTGTCCTTATCGCGTTGCCACTCTGGCGCTGGTGCATTAACGAAATGAGCGTAAAGCTTGTTCTTTGCACAAGTAACGGCTATCAAACTATGCTTGCCCATCCCATCGATCTCGTACACATAATAAATCTGTCCATTTTCGTCCTTCTTCTCCTCGGAGACGAAGCTGTCAGCCCCAGCTATCAAATCCTGCAACTCCACGTCAGATAAAGCTAAGTTGTTCAAGACCACGTCTTTCGGAGCTAACTGTCTGAACCCAGCGAGGAACGTTAAGTACTCCCTCTCTTGTCTTTTCTTCGGATTGTAGAACTCGCTGTCTGTTCCATTGGTACCCTTTTCGACCTTGGAAACTAAACGTTCTTTCCAGCCGTCAGGGACGTCATAGACGTACTCGGCGGAGGCTTTCTTATCTGAGTTGCCGCCATAGCCGCCGTAGTTGGCGGCGCTGGCAGCGGTGCCGTAGTAGAGGTGGTATGTTGAGGGTTGAGCGGCGATGGAGGGAGGGGAGACTAGGAGTGTGGTAGTGGCTAATGCGGTGGTCAGAGCAGTGGCTAGTGGTTTGGTGGAGAAGAGTGAAGGCGACGGCGGAGGCGGCTTCGCCGTTGGGATTTTGGTGGTGGAGGATGAGAGGATGGATGAAGGAGAGGATAGGGTGGCCATGGGAATTGTGGACATTGGTGGCTGTGGTTTCCTGTTTATAGTTTTCCTTATCCATATCACTCCATCATATTTTTCCTTCTTTTAAAAATTATTTTCTGTTTTATTTGATAAGACTAACATTAAAAGTCAACATTTAATTAAAAATGGTATTACAAGCCTAAAACATTAATCATATCACAAGATTAATATTTGATATATTATCGATACATAATATATATTATCATTTAATTATAAAATATTATTTTATAAAATTATAATAATATAATTTATAAAATTTATATTTTTAAATTTATTATATTAAAAAACAATAATAAATTTTGTAAATTATTAATGAATCAAATGTTAATAATAATAGCACATACAAATATAAACTCATGTACATATGTATATTAAAAGTGTAATTTTGAAAATTAATTTAAATAAGATCCAAAAAAAAAGCATTAAATAAAAATAAAACATATAATTAGCGGTAGGCCTCACCCGCCGTTTAGTTTGTTACAATTGCGCGGCTGCCCATCCTAATTCCTAAAACTAAAATGGAATCAGGGGCTATTTCCGTAATTAAATCCTCAATCCATGGGCCCTTTGTACGGAAAGCTGACCGCCAAAAAAACCCTAGGTATGTATGTTGGTTACAAAATCGAGACTCTGAAAAGACCCCTTCAATTTCGCTGCTCCCTCTTTCGTCAGCTTTCTTTCAAATTGAAATTTGAAATTTGAAAATAATTTCTCTAGTTTCTTTGATTCTTTGGCTGAAACAATTTCCATACGCCATGCCTAAGAGGTGATCTTTCAATCCTTCTCTTCTTTTCTTTTCTAATGAGTTTATGATTATCTATTTTTTCTGTTTGAATTCATTTCGTCAATTATCTTTTCCGATCAAATTTGTTTTATGTCTTTGATGATCATTAAATAGTTTACGATCTTGATAATCTTGTTCTTTTGATGCTTGAATTCGATGGAGCTTGACTTTTTGTCTTTTTGTTTTCAACTTCTGTTTCTTCGCTGAGAAAATCCTGGCAAGGTCTTTATTGTTAGCTGTTGAAATCGAAGACAGTCCAATCAGCAATCTTTATCCCAGGGCTGATACTAAAGATACTCGAAAGACAATTTTATAAGGAGCGTATTAATATTAGTAATATTTCTGATTATTTTGAATGAAATGGTAGAAAATGTTTGTTTTGTTGGTTGTTTCTTTAAGCCTCTATGTGTGAATGAAACTGAATAATGAACTGTTTGGTTTGCTAGTTTCTTTTGCTTTGCACTTAAATGTTGCCAAAATATGTCTTGCAATTTCTGATTTTTGAGAATTGTAGGTTTATTTCTTATTTCTATGTCTCAAAATCTGGCTGTCTCACCAATAGCCGTGTTTCTCCTGGCTTCCATACTTTCTGTGATGATGTCTGGTTGTAGGCTTCAGGTTTTGTAACTTTTAATTTTCTTATTATTCCAGGGTTCTTTGTAAGTTCTTTGCTCATGGAGCATGCCTCAAAGGGGAGCATTGTGAGTTTTCCCATGATTGGAAGGATCCACCAAATAATGTAGGAATCTTTCCTGTGACTTCTCTGTTCTCCATTTATCAATTGGGAATACTTCTTCCTTACCTTATTACTTGGTCATTGCAGATTTGCACATACTATCAGAAAGGAATTTGCTCTTATGGTAGTCGGTGCAGATATGAACATGTTAAGGCTTCTCAATCCGATTTATCTGCTTCATCTTCGTCAACAATGCCTCGTCAATCTCTGATCTCAGATTCTGTTCCTCTAGGTCCTCCTTTAACAACCACATTTGGCGGGTCAGTTGTACATCCATCTGCTTCTGCTGAGTTTCCTGGCTCAAGTAGAGCTTTTCTTCCTCCCACCAAGCAAGCATGGAATTTGGAATCTGAGCATCAGGCTGTAACAGATAATGGTGATTTTGTGGAGCCTAGGAGTGCTAATCCAGCTGAACAATCCATCTGCTCGTTTGCTGCAGCTGGTAATTGTCCCCGTGGAGAAAAATGCCCTCATATTCATGGAGACTTGTGTGCCACCTGTGGAAAACATTGTTTGCATCCTTTCAGACCTCAGGAAAGAGAGGAACATATTAAAATGTGTGAGAAAAAGCAAAAACACCTTGAGGCATTAAAAAGTAGTCAAGAAATAGAGTGCAGTGTGTGCCTGGATCGTGTTCTCTCAAAGCCCACAGCAGCTGAAAGAAAGTTTGGGTTGCTCTCCGAGTGTGATCATCCATTCTGCATATCATGTATTAGAAATTGGCGTAGCAGTTCCCCTTCCTCTGGAATGGATGTCAATACAGCCCTGAGGGCTTGCCCTATCTGCCGCAAGCTATCATACTTTGTCATTCCAAGTGTCATTTGGTATTGCACTCCAGAAGAAAAGCAGGAAATTGTAGATAGCTACAAGGCCAAATTGAGGTGATTTCACTCAGTTCAATGTTCAGATTTCGTGCTTACATGCATTACGATTTTATTTAAGTTCCCAACATTATATATGTAATGGAAGGATTGTTTGGATGATCTGTAATATCTATTTTATGGTGAGGTAAATCCAGTGGTGGATCTTGACATTTGGTTTTGGGGGCCAACTAAAACTATACTTCACTTTTCTTTTTCATAATATGTATCCTATGTTTTACTAATACTAGTATTTTCTGTCACTTGTGTTGCATGTGAACATTTGTTTTTTTTTTTTTATAAATTTTTGCATAATAATTATATTATAATACAGATAATTTTTTAAAAGTGTAAAATTTGAATTATAAGTAATTGAAATTTTATACCATTAATCTATAAATTATTCAATAGTACTAGAATTAAGGGAAATACTTTTTTATTAAAAATCTGTTGTTTTTAAAATGAAATTTTGGCATATAATGTTTTTATGATTTGATGAGTATAAGTGATTTTAGTGAATGCTGAACTTAAGATCTGTAAATTTATTTTTATATTGTTTTTTCCCACCTGGCAGGTCAATAGATTGCAAGCACTTCAACTTTGGAAATGGGAACTGCCCTTTTGGGACTAGTTGTTTTTACAAGGTAACAAATTCTCTTATTTGAAGAGCTTTGTTTAAGAAATTTACTTCATTTTATTCTTATTCTTAACAACGTTTGACAACCACAAGCTTTGATCCTAATTTCCTTAAGTGCTGCTTATAGAGGGTAAGAGGAACAAAGATGAGAGGCAGTGGGTGATATGGGGCAAAACTAACTGGTAATGAAGAGATGATAATCATAGTTGAGATGTGGACTGAGTGGGTGCAGGGAAAGATTGTAATTCAGGCAATCTAACGCCGTACGAGGAGTGATCATCAGAGAGAAGGCTAATGATGATAATTTAAGAAATTTTTTAGGATTTAAAGGTAGTTTGGTTATATGGCCTTTATTTCCCCACACCCTCACTCTCTCTCTCTCTTTGTCTGCCACAGAGACATGCATCAGAAGAGCTGTAGCAAATACAGAATGCTTTAAGATTTTATTTTCCCAAGAACTAAGTTTGAGTTTTGTTTTAATAGATATTTATATGTGAAGATTTTTGCTTTTGATAATCAAAAGAACATTAATGCAAGATCCAGAAAAGAAGTGCGGTAGTACTTTGTGATGTATTTCAGTTACTAATTTGGTAAGCCAGGAACCCAATAGGAAGACAGAATCTCTTTAATACCTTTCAGCCGAAGTTACCTCTTTTTGTTGTTATATTGATTGTGTCATTCTTGAAATCATTCTGCTGCAAGAGTTAAGGAAGAATATTGTTTCTCTTGCTTCTCAAAGAGCACTTTCTAGTTTCATCTTGCTTCTCAAAGAGCACTTTCTAGTGTTATCTGGTCAATTGCAAGCGATTATTTATATATTATTAATTTTAGGTTGCCCTTTGGCTCCATTAATTTTTAGCCAAGAGATGTCTCTTATTTTGCTTTCTAGAGCATAATGTTTTGGAACAATGTCTTGATATATTATGTTTAGGGGTCCATCTTCTGTGTGCGTCCCTGCCTTCTTTTTTTTTTTTTTTGGGGGGGTGGGGGAGAGGTGGTGGTTGATGTCTTATGTCACAGTGCCATTTCCTTGGCAGTTTTTAGGATTTGATGATGTTTATGGAGATGCTCAAAATCGCTTTTCCTGTATTCTGTCCTCGGTATTTTGTACCTTCGTATGTCATTTACTTTAATCGTAGAGAGTGTTAGTTTTTACGATTCCTTTAATGGATACACTTGTGTTGTCTTCCAGCATACGGTCAAGCCAGGCTCCTATGTATGGAAATACCACAGACCTCCTCCTCGCAGATTCAATTTTATGGATTTGGACGCAATATTTGATGTCTTCGAGCAGTTAATTGCAGAAGATGAAATGGATATTTTTGATGCTGAAGATTTTGAATATGATGATTTAACACCTATGGAGATGGCCTTTCTATTAATGCAGCAAGATTTTGAATCAAGTGACTCCTCGAGCGATGAGGAGAATTTTCTCTTTTAAGTTTAAAATTTTAGTTCTTATGCTCCACCCTTCTGCTGGAAATTTTGAAATGTGGTCATCTTGGTGTTTTGATAGGCCGCCACCATTTTTATCTGGGAGAAGATGGATCTTGGAGTTTGTTAACTGGGTCATTGAAGATTGTGTCATGTTAAAACTTACGACATTGATAATTATGATTGAAATCTAGATTAAGTTATTAGAGTTTGAATTACTTTTCCTCATGGTTTAAGTTAGTGTGAGGCCTTCAATGTGGTGTATATTAATGTGTAAAGGTCTTGCCTTGGCTTCGGTCCTGGTTTTTATAAATGTCGTCTTCTAGTGGGGCATGTGTATGTTCCAGAAAGAAAAACCAGGGAAAGACACATGCCAATTTTTCATGGTAAGAGAAATGTTCTTTGGACCGATGGAAGGATGTATGAAGTCATACTGTGTGAACAATGGGATTTAACAATGACATCTTTCTCCTTTTAGCATCCTTGTTTGCAGTATGTGTCACCCAAATATGATTGAAGATTGTCTATTCCAATATTAGCCCTGTATTTGTTTACATTCTGCTCATGTTGTGCTTTCAATACGGGCAAAATTTTGTCAAGTGTATGTTCATGGATGTTCTGTATTTGTAGCATGCATATCGAGATGGTCGTTTGGAGGAAGTAGTTCTGCGCCATCTTGGAGCTGAAGATGGGCACACCATCATAGCTAAGAATATTAGGTATTCTCCATGCGGTTTTTGTTCTTTTGCTTTTGTTTTTCTAGACTTGGCTTATAGTAGTTGGGTTTTTGCTAATGAGTTGCTCTAAGGGCACTTTTAAAGTTACCATATTAAGTAATATTTTGAGCCAATGCATTGCAATTCAATATGTTAATTGTTAATTACTGCATTTAATGCAAGAATATTACTTTAAATAGTCTCTTGACTCTCCTTAGAGTGTGCTCTTAGGGCACTCGTTAGCAAAATTCATAGTTGTTTTCTCTTTTCATTGTTTTTTACTAACTTGAAGTTGTTTTCAGGTTATCGGACTATCTTAGCGACCTGCACATTGGGTGAATGTTCACAATATTTATTACAGTGTGAGTTCCAACTTTGAAGCTTTGACTCCGATTTTCTTATTCTCACCTAATATATCTGATACAGATGCTTAGATACATGAGTTATACATCTGAGTATCGGTTGGCTCTCTCTCTCATTTGTCTAGTTATCATATGTGGGAGAAATCAAAGTCTTAATTGTTGTAAGGCACTTACTATATCTGATAGTTGTTGTGAATTGTCCATTTTTGCTCCAATATTACCCTATTTGTTTCCGAGATGTTTTTATTTATTCTAAAATACTTCCATGTATGCAGGATATCTAAATAATGCAAGGACCTATATGCAGCTTTGGTGAAAATGTTTTTCTTCAGTTTCGAGTGTTGCACTCCATTTCAAAAGGTAATGTGTATCAATGTTTGGGGTGTACTTCCATATCTATGGTTGTAACTATCTGTTTAACCAAATGCAGGATTGCTTGTAGGCGAAACCAACCGAGCTTGGAATCATGGGGCATGCTGGGTTATGCAATAAACTGCATCTTGTATTGATGAAGTAAACATTTTGCAGAAAACGCTGATTGATGAAAAAGTATTTGTTGAAGGTTTGGAAACTATAGTAGCCAATGGCAATTAAATTTGAATAATGGATGTGCCAGTGGCAGTGTCTATGCCGCGTGCATGCATGCTTCCCTAATCAGGGAAAAACATAACAACTGTATATTGGGTTTTGCTGTGATTCTCTGGCAGAGCTAGAGATGTATACAGCAGCATTCTTGAGGTTTTTGTGTTGAAATATCAGTTTCTCTGCTGGATTGTGCTCGATCCTGTAAGATTCTGGGTAGTGTGTACACATGGTTGTGGAATATGAATACGAGCATTACATTATCCTCTCTGCGAGATTTCCTCATGGTCTTTGGGTAAATCACAGTTGTTGCCTGCATTTTTAATTTACATGAACATTGTCACCACCGCCTCACGGGCAGAGTAACTGTTCGTGCTAGCTATATTTCATAACCATGGATATAAATTAACAAAGCTGGCGATAGAGCCCACGACGCCATGATCCATCTTCAAGGCCAACAATAAAACAAAATTGATGGCTAAAGTTGCAAATTATCAGGTTCGATGTCTGATCGGAGATTTGGTGTCACCGTATGTGCACGTTAATTTATAAAATATTGTTGGATTTTATTTTTTTATAAAATTATTTCTATTCATTTTAATATAAACACTTAAAAACTCGTATATATTCTTAACACGAAACCAATGTAAGATACATACGCGACCCCTTTTTATTTTAAAGAAGATGACATTGGTGGTGGACATTCAGAGGAAGTGGACAGAATGAAAGGAAAAGGAGGGTACCGCTAGAAATTATAATAACCAATTAATAATATGATCTCTGTAACTGTAAGTAATACAAATGTGTGTACGTACATAAATCACCAAAAACAATAACAATACATATGTTATCCATGATGAGGATCTCTTTATTCTTCTACTGTCTAAATAAATGAGGTAGATGGAAAACAAATCCCCAACTCATCAAAAAGAAGCTCTCAACTCCCAATCAAAAAAATGTGTGTACGAATCCCATCCACCAAAAACATATAAACAAACCCAATGCCCTCAGCCCTGGCCGGCCTGAGGAGAAAGCAGATACAGTTCCATGCTTTAATTATGTAATTACTGCCTCAAAAGAGCAAGCGCAGACAACAAGAGAGAGGAGCATATGACAGCCCCAGACATCCCAAGGGAATAGGCGGCTCCCTTGTCCATGGATGGGGATGGTGCTGATGCAGCCCCAAAATCTTGAGCTGAAGCAATGGCAGATAACATTGCAATCACAAGAACGGCAGCGAATGCTTTGGAAGCAGCCATTGTCAGAAGATTTATCTGTATCTCTTTGAGCAAACACCCGAAACACTGGCAAGAGAAGAGACAACTCCAAACACCCTGTGATATTTGATTCTGATGTTAAGGAGGGAGGTTTTTATAAGGTGGCAAAAGCGTGTGGACCCCTCAGAAAACGTGGACAGCTGGTGGCTGGAAGGGGCTACGTGGACAGTTCAAGTCCGGGAAGAAAACGGCTGGTGGTTGGGATTGGGCGGTCAAACTTTCATATTTTTCTTTTCTTCGTTGGTACGTTGGTTTCATATGGCAAGAGGATGAAGTTTCGTTCAAAGCTGGTAAGCTACCCGGCCAGGCCAGGGCAAGTCGTCTTTTTCGGGTCATCTTGACGTCAAAGTGAAAATGGGAAAAAGTCTTAAACAATACCAAAAAGAAAAAGAAAGCAAAGTCGGTGGGTGGCATCAATGGTAGCCCAGTCATGAACCCCCATGTGCTTCACCAGGATGGGAATGACTGTTTTGTCATGTCATGTTGTCCGTCTCTGAGAATATTGTCGTACTTCTTTTTTCTTTTCTTTTCTTTGTGGCTGTGGGTGACCTACCATTTTCTTTGGGTCAGCCTGGGAACTTTGAAATGGGCTTTGGCATATTCCACCATGAGCTAAATTACTAGATCCGGTTTCTATGTTCAGAGGCCTGGGTGCTGGGGCAATTTGCTAAGCTAGTATAAATTATTGCCTCAAATGGATTTAGTCCAAAAACCATCATGGCGTTGGCATGCATGCATGCACAGTAAACGTTGTTTGCACGCCTAAAAAGTGGAGAGTCCTACTCCTAGTGTATGATCTGTGGCTGAGCCGAGACATGATGATCCTTTAGATGACTGATGAGACTGGAAAGAAATGGCACGGAAGATGTGGCAGCGGTCGTTTGTACCTCGTAGAGCTGATAGGAGGCATATGCATGTGCCTGTATGTATTATACTTATTTATACACCAAGATTGTCGAGTAGACAGCAACAGCAACAGAACAATGATATATAACATCTGACAGGTTGTTTCACACTCCTCTGTATAGGGCAAATTAGTGTGGTTCTTGATAAACGGACATTTCAAGTTTTATTGTTTATAGCCATTATGGAAATCAGGTGGAGCCCTCAAGGTGATAAATATAGTATAGTACGTAGTACTACATGTTTTGCATGGAGATGAACGCAGGGTAGCCATAGAACTAGATATCGCCTTATTAACAGATAACAAGAAACTGATGGAATCCAAGGCTTCCAGCCTGTCAAATACCAGTATACCCTCGGGCGTCGGTGGGTGTCCTCCAAATCAAATCAAAGCTTCCAGTACTACTATAGGCTATAACAGAAGTCATTTAACGAAACTTGTTTAGCACAAAAAAACTCATGAACAAAATACATACAGCATCTCCCAGGTATTAAACTTTTTCCTGGCAAATTAAAGCAGTAAAGAAACTTGCTTAGAAGGAGAAATTAAGAGGAAACAGCTGAAAAGTGGGGTTTTTTGAGGTTGACATACGGAATCCTAATAGAAGGCAGCATTAATCATTAATCATTTGATGAACTTGAGATCATGGGTGAAGAAAGATGTAAAAGCATCCATTTTAGCCTTGGGCAAAGCTAAGCCAACCTCAACACCGCCTTTCACATCTCTGCTTTCGGTGAACGAAATGGCATTGGCATTATCAATTGAAATTTCCTCTATTTTCTTAGGCCTCCCCCACCCGAAATCAGTGTCATAGAAATCCAGTTTCGGGGACCCGGTAACCATAACATGGGACTCTGATTCATAAAACACCGCCCAATCTGATATCCAAGTTTCTGCCCCCGCAAGAACTCCGTCGTCCAATTCCTTGACTCTGTTTCCGATCATATTTGCTGCAACGACAATGCCATCCTCTCCGCAAAGCTCACGTTGAATCGCCATTGTTCGAGCAAAGCCGATGCAGTTACCAAAATAAGTAGTTGGTACAGGATAGTCTAACCGGGTAATACCACCCGCATTGAAGCCGAAGTAACTTGGATTCTTACCAAATAATTTCCCATTAACTTTCTCTTGTGCTTTTATCAAACAAACCCAAACAAAAGCACAAGTTAAATTAGAAGGGGTTAAATAGGGAGGTTGGGCCTTGTTCTTCAGCTTACATTGAGTAACAATCCATTGTTTAATCGTCTCCATATCACCAGGGCACATAAGGAAAGTGGCTCGAACCATGTCAGAGTCAGACAAATTAGTCACCCGAGTGACAACACCTATGGCCGTCTCTTGAGAAGATTTTCGGTTGCTCCAATCGTTCAAGAAAATCGATTCAAGCCCGCGAGTATCTTTAACGACCGTCCGGTCATAAAAGGGCAGTGACTTGATTAAGAAAGAAGGGTCTCTGAAAAGCGATGCCCATGTCTTGATGAAGCTGTTGAAGGTCCTGCCATCAGCAACCACATGATGGTATGCAAATCCTATGCATATGCCAGAATTAGAGAAAATGGTGATTTGTGCGGCAAGTAAGGGGATTTCGTGTTTGCTTCCTGATGCCCTGCTTGGCAACTGGGGAAGTAGTGGATAAAACTCGTTAACACATCGCTGATGATTTCCAGAGAAGTGAAAGAAATCTCCGTCAGATTCAGCAACAACCAAGGGGACGTGGTTACCTTCATTGTAAACAATTAGAGGTTTGAATGAATCCGGTGGCCACACGAGGCTGCCAGCCAAAGCGAAGAAGTGTTGTAGCGTGAGGGAGAGGGAGTGTACGAGTGTCGGAAGAGTGGTGGATAAAAAGTGATTAGTAGGGAAAGGATACTTGTAGAAGAAGAGAGGTTGGCTTGCAGAGAAGCAAAGCCAAGGTATGTCGAAGAAAGTTAGAGGAAGAGAGGTTGGTGGGGCTGAATTTGGTGGTGGAGAAACATGGTAGCGAGCAACAACTTCTACCGTGGAAGGTCGTTTAGCCATGAAAGGGTGACGAATTCGCTACTGATGGAGAGGATGATGGATTTGCTTAATTTCCTAGCTAGCACGCCAATTAAAGAAAATGATGAAAATAGTCATACCCTACTAGCTTCATGAGACTTGTGCTACTAGAAGAATTATTCAAGTTTATGATTACTAATATTTGTGGACTGAACTTAAGACTCTCATGCGGATATTTGAGAGACGCTACAGTCGCCATGTGAAGGAATAAGATTCTGAGAAGCAATCTACTTCTCCTTGAACCAATAAACTATGCAAAAACCAAGATAGTTTGTAGTTTGTAGTATCTGTACTAGTAATTATCATATATAAGTGATAACTAGTCAGTTTAATCATTCTTAAAATGGACAGAATCTAACATCCTTAAGCAGCTAGCAGCCTCAATAATTAGCTAATATAATATATAGTTTCTAAGAGTGACGTGTAAGGAATTACTTTCTCATAACTTAGTATAAAATACTCGTAGTAGTTAATGGCTGAAATCACTTCTAAACTCTTTTCAGTTGTGCTTTCTTTTGCAGTTGCAAGTATAGCTTGACGGAGCATGGAACTGACATGTCTAAATCTGAAGGGAAGGGCTGAGCCACCAACCCAAACCCCTTAAGCCCAGAATTTTCGAGTCAGGAGCTGGCCAGAACTTTTAAAGCTAGGCCAGCCGTCCTGTCGCCTGAACAGTGAATACTACTTTAACATTAGTTTTATTGGATTTTGAATTACTATTACTTAATGTTTGTAGCCATTTTTTGTTCTATTTCACCACCCACCCGGCCATTCTTAATTTCTTTAAATTTTGAATTTGGAAAGATTCCTTAATTCGAGAAGCTATTTTCCCTGAAACATGGTTCACGTTTCTTTGCTTTACATGATAGAAATTATTGCAGCGGGGTCGCCGCCTGACAACAGTTCTGACGGCACTTAAATTATTCATGCCTCAACTTTCAAAAAGGCTCTGAGTCTTCAAATAGGACAAGATGTGATAATTCTGCTATAACTACAATGTCGGCAGCTGTCTCTTGAGCCGACTCCGAATCGAGGATGTCATTGGATAACAATCTAAACTTTTTCATATCCCAGTAAAATCGTGTATGAAGAAAAATTTACAGATGTTCAACTTTGTTAAGAAAGAAAGGTGAAATATCAAAATTGTCAGAGTTTATCGAGAGATGTCTTTTAATTGGATGAAGAGCAAACAGATAAAAGTCGAAAAAAGCAACACTTTATTAGGAGACTTGATGTTGGTTAAGTTGGTACAAAAATAACTTTGATTTTTAAAGAAGAGTGATTAAAGATTAGTATAGAAGTATGAAGGTTCAGAATCGATAGTAGTCAAAGTTGAAAAAAACTTCTTATAAGATTGATCTATTTAAATGGATGAAAGTACATTTTGTATTTCATGTTTGATGCAGATTTAGTAGATGTAAGCAGAAGTTGAGTCAAAAGAGTACCAAGCCATCATCACAAACGTCAAGTAGAGGAGATTTTGACATGACAGATGATGACAATCAACCAATGACCAACACAAGAGTACATGGTGAAATGAGAAAGTTTGGAACTAGAGGAGCTCATCTATGAGAAGGAAACCGACCCCTACACCTTTCAGTAGAAAATTAAAGAATTTTAAGCCAACTAGTCAACGAAGGCGTCGATAAATTAAGTGAAAGAAGCTATCATGATCTAATCTTGTATCAGACTATGATAAGTTAAAGTCGTCTACGAGATTGAATTTTTTATATTTGTAAGGAAAATATCTCTTTTTTAAATGATATAATTATTTGCGGTCATACATCGAAAAATACTTGTTAAACCTTTAAGAGAAAATATGAAAGAAATGTCTTCATTTTAAACATTGTAATAACCATCGATAGAATACTTATAAAATTTTATAAATTCTTTACAGAAGATGAGCAATCGGTGAGTTGTTAGACTGCTTCATTAGTAAAAATATATTTGTAGCAAACCATCTAGTGCGGCTCTATGACTCGACTATAGCGTGTTTTGATTTTTTTATAATTAATTTTACATTAAAAAAATATTTTTAGAATTCAATAGGTGCATATATAACATTATGCTTTCTGATATTATGCAGATTCTTTTAGTCTAATTTATTACTATTATTGATATTTGATAAGATATAATTGAATATTGACTGACATGTATGAAAATGTTTACTCAAATACCGTACAAATTATCACACATTTAAATAAAAAAGCATAATTTGTGACAATTGTTTGTAATCAAGAAGAAGCATAAGAAATAACTAGCCATTACGCACAAGGCAAAACATAATTTTCAAAGATATAGGAACAAAGCGAAGCAAACATGCATTCGACTTTCATTTGCAAATCGGAGACTCTAGTGAGCTGACAAGTAGAAGACTAACAATACCCACATTTTTCAACAGATTCTTGACTTATTCCTGCCTCCTACAACTCAACACCTCATCCAATTTCTTGCCCTCCTAATTCAAATAACTTTGAAAGGGTGACATCAAACCGAAGATAAGGTATCAACTTTGTGGTGCAGAGCAATTTGGATGGTATGGTGTTGAAATACTCGTTTCAAGAGAAAGAGGGGCAACCTCCACTTAGCCCTAGTATTTGTTGTATTCGTTCCCAAAAAGAGAGCTCGCAAAGTGGTCCATGAAACTTTTTCTTCGCATTATTCTACATTTTAGCTTTGAGACCTTGATCGAAGAGAGAGGCAAAAGTATCCATTTGGGGACTTGGAAGAGCTAATCCCACTTCAATCCCACCTCTCTCACATCTGCTCTCAGTAAGTGAAATGGCTCCGCATTGATCGATTGAAATCTCCTCTATCTTGCTAGGCCACCCCCACCCAAAATCTGTCTCGTACAGATGCAACTTAGGCGACCCTACTACCATCATATGGGGCTCAGACCTGAAAAAGACCTCCCAGTCCGAAATCCACCTTTCAGCTTCCCCGAGTAATGCTTTATCCAACTTCTTAACCGTGTCTCCGATGGCTTTCGCAGCCAAAAGGATGCCGTTTTCTCCCATTAAGTCTCCCCTTGTAGCCTCGCACCTGCCAAATCCAACACAATTGCCGAAGTACGTAGATGGAACACGATAGTCGAAACGGTTTAGACCGCCCGCATTAAACCCCAAATAACTTGGATAATCATTCAGATACTTGCCTGCTACACCCTCGTGAGCAGCAGCTTTCATGAAACAAACCCAAACAAAAGCACATGTTACAACGTAAGGAGATAAATGTACGGGCTCTCGCAGATTTTTCCTCTTGCATTCGGTAACAATCCATCGTTTGATTTTCTCCATTTCTGTCAACCCCATCACGAATGTGGCTCTAACCTTATCTGAAAACTCTGCTTTGCTTTTGGTAACTATAACCATTTCGTGTTCTGCAGACTTTTTCCTCCTCCATTCATTCAAGAAAATCGCCTCAAGACCATGCCTGTCAATTACTAACGTCCGATCATAAGATGGCATTGCCATGATCGAGAAAGAAGAATCTTTATGAAATGATGCCCATGTCTTGATGAAATTGTCGAACGTCCTTCCATCAGCAGCCACATGGTGATAAGCAAGTCCTATGCACAAACCAGAATTCGGAAATACTGTGACTTTTACTGCAAGCAAAGGTACTGTTTCGATTTCGTCATCACTTGACTGCAGGCTGCTTTCTAGCGAAGGTACAAGTGGATGGAACTCTTCGACATCTCGAGGACGATCGCCTGATATATAATGAAAATCAGCATTAGACTCAGCAAAAGTTAATGGAACGTAGCTCTGTTTTTCGTTGTAAACAATCTTGGGACGGTTTGACTTAGAGTCCAAGACAAGGTGGCCAGCGAAAGGAAAGAAGTGCTGGAGAGTGAGAGAAAGAGATTGCTTGAGGGTTGGGAGAGTAGCCGACAAGAAGTGAGAAGTAGAGTGAGGGTATGGATAGAAGAAGAGAGGTTGGGTTGGAGGAAAGAAGAGCCATGGTACGTCAAAGAAAGTTAGGGGGATCAGGGAAGTTAGCGGATTAACTGAATCCGGTGGTGGAGAAACTTGGCAATGCTCTAGAATCCTCACTCTCATGTCTTTAGCCATGGACGTGGGATAAACTAAAGAAAGAGATACAGACAGAGAGGGAGAGACAGAACAGAGGAGATGTGATTCTGACCGACTCGTTTGTGTGTAAACAGTCATGTGTATATAATACACAGAAAATAATGTAACCTTCGATTATAGTAATTAAAAAGAAATAGAGAGAAAAAGATTAGAACCCATAGGTCTAAATCTTTTTTACACCCAAGTTTTACTGAAGCAAAAGGGCCCCGACAAGCAAAACTCGAAAGACAAGGAATTTTGTAGTTCAAAATGTACTCTGTCAAGTCTCAGGGATGAATATATTACACCACATAAAAGAATCAAACTAATTATTTATATGTGAGAAATTATGAAGAGGCATCTCCTCCCAAGTGGGATTTCGAATAAATTTCATTTAGAAGCATAAATTCATTGTGTCGTTTCTTCGTTTCTTGTAGTTGGCGTGTAGGTGTAGCTCCAATACCTGTCATCAGGGAGTTGGTTGACATAAATTTGGGTTGTCTTGTGATTTCTACCGCCAGACTCGCTCCAGGCAAAGGGCTTTTTCTTTCTTTCTTTCCGGTCCGCATAAAAAAACCAAACAACTACTCGGCGTAAAATAGGGTGGAAATGAAACTGTAATTTGCTAAATACAGATTGGTTTTGCACTATAAATACCATTCACCCCCCACCCACATTCTTCAGTCGGCTGCAAAACTCCAGTTCCAAGGCGTGTTTTGGTGAATAATATTAATTGCCCCGTTTGTTATTCAGGGTTTAAATTACTCGCCAACACGCCAAGAAATGGAGATGAAGAAGGTTGCCTGCGCTGTCCTCTTTGCTGCCGCCTCAATGAGCGCAGTGATGGCTGAGGTTGCTGCTCCTGCCCCTGCCCCAACCAGCGATGCCTCCGCTAGCTTGCCAGTCGTTGGATCAGTTGTTGGTGCCTCAGTTGTGTCACTGCTCGCCTATTTCTTGCACTAAGCTTCAGGAAAAAAAAACAATAACAAAAATAATAAAAGAGGAAAGAAGTGCACATATGAAGGAAGAAAGATCAGAAACGTTCTGTCTTAGAAAAGAAAAATAAGAATAAGATTGATCGATGATAATCAAGTTTTTATTTTCCTTTTTGAGCATCTCTCATTTTTTTTCATTCCTTTGTCTGTAAAGTGAATAATCTTTTACACCCAATGCAATAACAGAGCCTTCTGGTGCAATGCATTTTGCTATTAGATGCTTTGGTTTCTCAGTTTCACGCAGTGGATATGGTTCATCATTACTTTGCATAGTGTTTCCCAATTAGATATTGCTAGGAAAGTGCGTCTGATGGAATCATAATCCCATTAGCGTATCCGATAACGTTAACCTGTCAAATTTCAGTGAACTGCTGAAGCTTCAGTCCAATCAAAATTAAAGTATCACAGAGAGTGCAGGCCCCCCGCCCCTGTGAATGCAGAGCATGTGCTGTTCCTCTTTGCAGCCTTGACCTCTAACCACTATCATATTCGAAACAACGTGGCATCAGCTTCATTCCACATGAATGGCAGCCTGCAGCTGGACGGACTAATTCTCACACCACATGTAAACCATGAACTAGGCCTTCATTTTGGACCCAACAGCCACAAGTTTCACACTTGTTTCTAAACATCCTTGTCCTTTCACCTTTGCTATCTTTTTCAACTGCACTGAGATATGGCTTCCCTGAAGGTTTCCCTTGTTGCAGCTGTTGTGCTTGTAGCAATTGTATGCTCAAAAATCTCAGTGACTGCTGCTGAGGATGAGATAGCTCCCTCTCCGGCAATTGAAACTGGAACAGGCTGCTCTGCGTTTGCATCTGTTGCGGGTGTAGGGTCTTGTGTTTTGTTTTATGTCATTCATGTTTTCATGCATTAGGGATTAGGATCTTGTTCTTGTTGCTAGACGTATATATCGGGCGCCTTCTGTTTGTGTTGCCTTATTACAATGGCACTGTGCTCTGTGTGTGTAATTAATGAGTATCTGAGTGTATTCTGGGTCTTTGATAATGGACACAGGAAAATAATATTCATCCGAGTAAAGAGAGAAAAAAAATTGCTTTAACTTATGTTTATTACGTTGTGCTCAGTTTAAAAGAAAACGGGTGACTTGTCCAAGAGCAGCATTACGAGGCTATTGTCATGATTCTAACAAACATGCAAGGTAATGCTCTTGTTTCATTAAGCCTTAATTTCTACTGAAAGTAAGTTTTGATTCCTCACTAGGGAAAGTAGATTGTGTTCTTTGAAGAACAAAGATGGCCAAAATTTTATTTGAGGCGCAAAAAATGTGCGATGAAAAAGCCCAGCTGAAGCTGCTCGTATAGGCTCAATCCCAAACCCAACTGAATCAAGCCCTCTCCAGAAACGATCCAACCCAATCAGGTCCTGTCTCACAAATTAGTAGATCTGGTTTACCAGACCAGATCAGATGCCTACCTCGCTTCTTCCCAGATGTGAGTGCAAGCCGCCCTTGACCCTTGTACAGAAAATTTTGTGATTCTCAATTTGCAACAATGATCTCTCGTAGCGTCATCTCGAAGCTCCCGAAGCGCTGCAATTCCTCTTCGTTTTCTCTGTCTCCCATTTTTGTCATCTCTCGTGAACCCCTAAATCCTAAACCTAGTCCCTCGTCCAATCCCGCTTTCTCACGCCGGAACCCCTTAAACCCGAACTCCACTTTCGTAACTTTCACTTCAGTCCAATCCAATCACTTTTGTTCACTCACAATCCAAGATATAGTTGATCGGAAATCCATAAATGCGCATCTTGATTTGATAAGATCATACACCAGTTTGAGTAGCAACAGGGAGAGTCCTTGCACTAAATGGATATCGGAGCAAAGACCCAGGGATCTTTCAACTTCCGGCACAAAAGCTGACACTGAGAAGCCACAGAACCCAAGCGAATACCCTAGTCAAAACCCTGATTTCAAGCACCAAGAAATCGAGGGACCAACTGTAGAACGCGACTTATCAGCACTGGCGAATGAGACAAGAGAGGTTCTTGACGGAATGATGAAGAACATATATGGACTTAGCAGGGCAGTGGCTGTTCTGGGACTGGTCCACCTTGGTCTTGGAGCTTGGATATCGTATATTAATGGATCAAACCCAATAAGCGAGGTTTCAATTCAAAGTTTTCTGGCATTTGGGTTCCCTTTTACACTGGCGTTTATGTTGCGGCGGTCACTGAAGCCTATGTACTTCTTCAAGAAGATGGAGGAGCAAGGTAGGCTACAGATTCTGACTCTAACTCTTCAGGTTGCGAAAAATTTGAATATATTCTTTATTCGGGTCCGCGGGGTTTCTTTCTTATGTATTGCAGGGGTGTCGATCGGGTTGTTGCTCACCATGTTCTCTAAGTGACATTTTATGTTTTGATATTTGAGTTTCATGGATTGAGTTTTGGTGCAATGCTGCATACTCCATCTTGGATGTATACAGTACCTAATAGCACTCTATATGTATAACTTTTAGGAATGAAATTTTTGTAAGTTTCCCGTTTCATTGCTATGTCATTACACTTGTGGAGATGTTCAGCAGTAGGAAAGAGTTAATCATCGTTTTTGGCAACAATTGATTACAATTTTATATGTAAAATGCAATCATAACTTGGATCTATAGACAGCATCGTTGTGGTGAAGGTCGTAATCGGCATACTCCTTATTGATTATCGGATTTGGAGATAAAGAGTTAGTCATCCAAGACGCAATTTCCTAATGTTTTTGGTGCCAATTCCCTCCCCTCGGCGCCCTTGCTGAAGGGTTTAACTCTTCGGGTGCTCACTAGAAGATTTCCTTTGGAGACTTTGGACCGGCATACAGAACTTGACACATGACATGGGGAAGTTGGCAGATTCCTGTTGTATGGGCGTGGTGGCTTGAGCTTCACATACGGCGAGAGGAGCAGGTCGTGTAACTACCAAGTTACTTTTCTATATTAAGCCATCAATCTGAAGCCTATTTTGTTACAGCATCATAGATAATACACAACACATTCCACAACACTGCTGTACACGATCGTAAATCCTAAAGAAGCGTTGAGGAATAGTTGGGACTGTGGCATTGCTCGTACCCAGTTGCATATAATACTCAGAAGTTACGAACCCAAGTATTTAACTAACCACAATACTAGACAAGGGAATCCTACTTTTATATAATATGGAAACTACAAAGACGAACACTTGAATCCTATTCACAAACACTTTAATTTGGGCCACCTATTTTCTTAAACAGAAAAAGAACAAGCTCATTCAATTCAAAAAATGCAATTGCAAATTAAAGACTGCGAAAATGAACCAGATATTCATTGCAAATCTCCCGATTATCATGATGGGCGACTCAGACCCCACACCCACACACAATAAATAAATAAAATCATCAAGAAACTAATACCATGTGAATTAAGTCTATAGAAGAACATACCATGCACAGAAACATCAAACAACGAAGTGTTTCCATGCTAAACCATATGAGCAGAGAACATGCAAAACCTTAAACGTGTAAATGCAAAGACCAATGCAACAGACTGCACATTCGAGGCAAACTCGTTCTTACTTAACTTTTCTTCTTTTTTGTTCATTTTGTTCCATTTTTTCCTTTTTTTCCCTCATATTATAATATAAAAGTCCACAAAAAAAACTAAAACATGAGCCCTCAAACAAAAGACAACTACCCATCCACCCTATTCACAAATTTCAAATCTAACGTATATATAACTCGGGGCATGAACATTATTCCAACCACTGACCCTTGCTTCCTCCCAGATCAAAAACCAAACTCCCCTGCCCCATTCAACCCACCCCCTTTTAAAGGAAAAAAAAAGAAAAAAAAAAGCCTGGAATGGCAAAATTTGCTCACAGAAGACCAGTTTTCCACTTCTACATACATCTCTACTCTAGAAATGTCTCCAGGAGTTGAAGAATCATCACGTTTCTAAAAATAAAAGAATGGGTTGGACTTATCTCCATCCTTTGATCCGTAAGATACTTGGTGCATAGTCAAACATTTCAACAAAAATTGATGGAACCCGGGGCAGGAATTTGAGAAATGACATACTGAACTAGGAGCTACTGGCATTCCTCTCCGATTTAGGCTCTGTTCGGACATAGGTGAGACTGCGGGCAGTGGGAGAAAAAACATTGTTCCCAGTGACTGAAGCAGCAGCATCGGCAGGAGAGGCCTGAGCATCACGCTTCCATTGCAAGCTTCTGGCACCAGGTTTGAAAGGAAGGCGAGACCTATATGCACCAGGGATACCTCTGGGAAAAGGGGCTCTAGCATACCTTGCAGCAGCAAATGGAGAGCCTCGGGCAATGCGGGGCCATGTCATGACAGAAGCAGCTTCTTGATGAGCAGAGCTTCTCTTCACAACCTTCAACAAGAACAAAACCAACCAGTTTGGTTTAGTTTACATAACATTTTTTGGAGCAACAACCCAACATCCATGCTTAATTTTAAAGAAAGAAAATGGGAGAATTACGAGTTTCATCAAGCCAAAAACACACAGAACAACACCAGGCTTTCTAAAAGCATTTAATTTAAATCATTTAATTTTCACCACTGCCAACCTCACTATCCAAGGTTTCAAGAAGTCCAACAAATGAATTTTTACTTTAACATCCAGAAAACAGAGAAGTCATGTTAAATATTTAAACTAGATGCATCTGTTGTCTCCCTCACCTATCCTTCACTGAAATCTCATAATAATTTTTCCAAAAATTTTCACACAGCATTGACATGACCAGTTAGTTTATCAAAATGCAGAAACTGCATAATATGATCTGCCATCTAAACTTCAGTGCTTTATCATTACAACATACCCAGCACAATAGATACAATACAAGACACAAGGCATGTGATCACAACACACTTTTTGATCCAGCACAGCATCAGCATTGGATCTGGTCTTCTCATAAACAGAAACTTTAAGGTTGCAATATAGGAATATACACCATCAACTTGCTTCAGGTCTGATTATATTATATTTATAACTACTCAATGACAGCTCATAAGAAGCGCAATTGTGACAATCATTCACTGCCAAATGCAAACTAAAATATCATAATTAATGTCAAGAAAAACTTCCAGCCATCAAGGAACCAGTAAAATTTTTACATCACTAGGCATCTATGTCAAGATAGTTTTTCCTAAAGAGTGAAAGAGAGAAGACAAAAAACTCGCCCTCCACCTAGAGATATAGCCATATGCATAGCAAGTTGCAAAGAAAAAATTCAATGGGTTGGATAAAAGAACATAGAACAATGATTAAATACCTTAAGAATCCGTGACAGGAAAGAGGTACCATCCAGGGATAAAGCATTGTCTGCTGCTTCCTTATGCATAAACTCCACATAAGCTGACCTGTTTAGACATTGTCTCTTAGCAAAAGAGAATTTTTCCTAGAGAGAGACAGATACAGAACAAATGTTTCAAACACCTTACCCTTTTGGTTGCCCTGTCGCCGCATCTGTAACTATAACAACTTTTAGCACTTCCCCAAACTTATTAAAATGCCGAGAAAGACTGTCCTTGGTAGCAGCAAAATGAACCTGCTTATCAACAGTGACAGGACCATATATTGTCAAGACTGAGGAGGGAAACATGTCCTTTCTAAACTAAAGAGAGTTTTGGTTTCTTACATTGCTTACAAAGATTGTCCGAGAATCAGCATCCTCCAAAGGTCGAGCAGCAGCATAGGGAACTGGAAAAAGAAAAAAGGCAATTAAAATATAAGAACCCTAAATCCAAAAGAACAAAATGAAATGCTAATTAAAAAAATAAGCAACAGATGCCAAAAGATATGTTGAAACAACAGAATCCCTTGTCTAACAAATGCAACACTCAAATCATTTATCTTATAATAAAAAGGTAACAAACAATACAAGAAAACTCACCAGAAGAAGACTGTACTGTCTTCTGAGACATTTCTTGAATATCACCAGCACGTTTTACCTATAAATTAACACTGCAAGTAAATTTTAATAGCCCAGTGCACAGAATAAAGCAAGAGAGAAAAATGGGTCAGAACATCTTACATTTCCATTACCAACACTAACAGGGTTGCCATTCTCCTTCATCAATCTAAGATTAGATTTGCTAGCGACTGCTTCAATCTCCTGAAGAGATTTTCGACTGCCAAATTCTGAAACCTCCCTTGGCTCTTGATAATAAGGTGGTTTCCAAGTATTCACATTGACAGAACTGTTGACTATCTTACGAGAAGTATTTGCCGCTGCAGTAGATTGATCGTGGTCTTTGTTCCTTGTTCTTTGCATGAGTTCATCACCCCTAGCTACACTGTATTGCACCACAAGTGAGTTATCACCCTTGTTTCCACTAGATGTACCAGTCTGAGACATATCCATAACTCTATGGCCAACAACATTAACATCATCATATGCTTCATTGTCAGACAGAGAATCTAAAGCCAACACAGTCTGACTTTCTAATGCTGTCATGTTACCGACATGTTGTCCCGCATGCTCATTTCTTTGAAGATATGCTGATTGGATTTTCTCCAGTGGTTGCTTAAGATCTCCACACTCTTCATCCTCGGTAAGAGATTCTCTATATTCTGCATGTCGGTCATGGGTCTTCAAAACATCCATTCCAGGGCCAAGCCTGTCAAACACACTTCCAGCAGTTTTGACCTTTGCCACATCTTCAGCAGCTTCTGCCACAGCTTTGATCATTGTTGTCATCAGATTTGGCACTCTCGCAACAGACCGAATTCTCCTAGGACGATCTGGTAATGATGAATCTCCAGAAGATGTAGACACCACAGACCGAAGGCGCTTGAATGAGGGCTCTTTAGCCGAAATAGGTGACCTTGAAGTTCCAACTGCATCTCGCACAGCAAACTGAAGCAGCCGCCTAGGGGCATCAATGGTCATCTGAGAAACTTCCTCCCTCTGGCAAAAAGTACATTTGTGGATCAGAAAATTGGGGTGAAAAGAATGAGCAAAGACATATGTTGGCATTACATCAAACTGCTTCTATCCTTGTGAAAGCAAATAATAATAATAATGATTGATACATGAACCCAAGAGATTAAGAAATTTATCACCAAGACATCCACTTTTAACCGTTTCCATAAGGAATGATATCCAGAGTTCCTCCATGGTTATATTCTGACCAATGAATCAGAGATTTTCAGAACAACTTCCTCTTACTTATAGTAAATGACCATTACTCAACTAACTGGGGATTAGGAATTTAGGAATTCAAACCTTTATAGGTTGTCGCTCATCAATTCTGCTCCTTTTCTTCTGACTAGGACGAGGGGAGGAAGATCTTCCACGGCTTACTTTTCGACGAGTTTTTTCCTCGAAACAAATATTCTCAACCTCAGAGCTCCGAAGAGGAGGTGGTTCAGAAGCATCCTGAACTAGTCCCTTCCACTCCCTATTGTGCCGGTTCCTAGCCAACTTAGTAGACTTTCCTTTTTCAGAATCAGAATCCAATTGAGTATCAGCCTGCGCTAGCTGGTTCCCCAGTATGGATCTC